AATTTCTGCAGCTCTGCAACTGCATCCCTGCCCATCCTCACCCTTCTGCCCCAACCCTCACCTCCTTGTACCCCCAATATGTTTTTCCCAATTAAAAAAAATACATATATATAAAAGAAAAGAGCAATCTGCCTCAGTCATCATGCGGAAAAAAACCAAAATAATCCTCCTCCTAAAAAAAAGCAGAACCAGTGAATATCCTAGATAGACAGAAACAGAAGAAATATGTTGATGTGGAGTTATTTGAACAGCTAGATTAGAAGATGAAAATGATGGAAAAAATAATAGATAGTATAGATAAAAAGGTACAGGACTGTAACAAAGCATCACAAGACAGAGAGGGTACAGGCAACACAGTACTGGAAATAACAGAAAAGCACGAAAATGCAATTCAGATTATTAAGACCAAAATGACAGGAGGGTCTAACACCTGGTAGGACAAAAAAGTAGAACTGAAGAGATGGAACAGAGAGTCAGTGAGCTAGAAGACAAGAGCCTCACTGGAAAGATATTAGAAGAAAAAATCAGAGATGAGACATAATGAAAATGAAGACAACATTAGAATTATGTGGGATGACATCAAAAGGAACACCATATGTATATTTGGAATTCCAGAACAGGGGCATGACAGTGAAATCACTGAGAAAATTGTGGAAGAAGTACTAGAAGAAAATTTTCCAAGTATTTTGAAGAACAGGGAAATCTACATTCAAGAAGCACAGTGAACTGGACCCAAAAAGAAAAACATCAAGACATGTTGTTGTTATGTGCCGTTGAGCTGCTTGTGACTCATCTGCTCTGCCCTATGCCAATCGCACTGTCTCCAATACACCGATCTTGATTACTCCAATCATTGAATCAATCCACCTCATAGAAGGCCTTCCCTTCCTGTGCTGTCCCTCCACACTACCAAGCATCATGTCCCTCCAACATGTCCCTCAACATGTCCAAGGTATGTTAGACAAAACCTCAGAATCCTTGTCTCCAAGGAGCCACACGGTTTAACACTTTCCAGGATGAATCTCAAAGGCATAAATTTTTCTTCTACCTTCCTTAGTCATTGCCCAACTCTCTGATGCATAACAAGTGATAGCAAAGACCGTGGCCTGTATCAGATGCACCCTAGTCTCCAGAGAGATACCATTGCTCTTCAGAACTTTGAAAAGGTCCCTAACAGCAGACTTTCCCATGGCAATACATCTTTTAATTTCCTGGCTATTAGTGCCAGGAGTGTTGACTTTGGAGCCAAGAAAAC